CCTCTTGCTGCAAGCCACTGGTCAAGATCGGTACTTCACACCATATGGCACAGCAAACGCAACCAGCACTTCCAAAGCATTCTCGGCGCAGGTGCAGGTTCAAGATACGAGCCGTGTTCGCCATTCACTGACGGTGGAGTATCCTGATGTGGACTGGGCGTGGGTTCGCAAGAGCGCAGGCTGGTCCGCGCTTCAATGGCAGATGCTCGCTTCCACCACACTCGAGATCGGCCAGAACAACACTGCTGTGGCAGTCACCATGGACAAGACCGCCGAATTTGCCATCGTACCCATGGAGGTTTCGGATAGGAATGCAACACATGGCAGGAGCGAGCTTGATCAGCGATCGATAGAATGGCATACGGGCGACTGGTACTCGTATATCGCTGCCTTCTCCAAGGAGGATGCAGCCTCCGATCGGCTCCCCGAATCTCACCATTTGTTACACCTGCACCAGGGCTCCTACAAGCTGCTTGTCCGCCCCATGTACGAGATCCGCATCTTTGGAGATCCGCGTAACAACGGCGAGCAGGAATCTCCGCGGATGGTCCTGGGTATCGACATGGCCGCTCGTGCTCTCGATGATGTGCCGAGAGACGAGGTAGTTGGGATCCATACGGATCCACACCACAGCAATGTCCCACACGTGGTCGGAGGATGGCTCGCTGGATGGGGCCTCTCCTTCGGTGTGCGCAACATGCATCCAACCGAGGCTTACACGCTAGAAAGCATAGACAGCCTCAAACAACCATCGATCTCTGTCGAGCTTGGTATCCCGCTGACATTGTCGCCGAGCCAGACACTGGTTGTCCCCACCAAGCTGAATCAAAGTGCACCGCTGGGTGCAAGCATCACCAGCCTGGATCTTTCTCTGACGCTGCGCTCGGCTGCAGGCGACACAATCACCAAAGCGGTCTCCGTTCCGCTCATCCACAAGGACGCCTTTTGGGAAGCATCGAGCGACGATCAAGATCACCATGCCTACATGTACAGCTACCTCGCCCCTGACAATACTGTGCAGCTAGCCGCAGCCACGCCGCCGAGGAAACCAGCAGCAACTTCCACAAACCAAAGCGCGCTTCCACCGTTGATGCTGACGCTGCATGGAGCTGGTGTGGACGTCCGCGATTTGTTCTTCAGCAACAGCATCAAGCGACAAGACGAGTGCTGGTCCATCCTGCCCACTGGTCGCACGCCGTGGGGCTATGACTGGCAGCTGGCGTCGTTCCAAGCAGCCGATGCAGCCGTAGATGCATTCCACCAGCATCTGTATGGTCTGCCGCCGACAATGTCGGATGCAGAGCGGCAAAAGTGGCAATTCGATCCTCACAAGCTGTTCATCATGGGCCACTCGAACGGTGGACAGGGCGCGTGGTACCGTCTTTCGCGCTATCCAGACCGTGTCATCGCCGGTGTCGTGGCTGCGGCGTACACAAAGGTGTCGGACTACGTCTCGTTCGCCTGGAAGGTGGGTCGTCATTACGCCGATCCGGCACTGCACGGCGTGCTGCATAGCTCGCTGAGCATGTTCGAGAACGACCTGTTTGCAAGCAACCTGGCCGGCATCGATCTGCTAATCAAGTACGGCTCTGCGGACGCTAATGTGCCGCCATGGAACTCGAAGGATATGGCGATGCTCGTGGATGGCTGGAACAAGAGGTCTGGTTTGCAGGGAAAGGTCAGGGTCTCGGAAGTTCCGGGCCGACCGCATTGGTGGGACACGCTCTTCTCCGAGGACGACGTGCAGACTGCCATCGAGGCTGCATGTACATCGAGCAAGAATCCTGGGTACGCTATGCCCGAAGCGCCGCAGAGCTTCACGCTCACTGTGGCCAACCCAGCCGAAGCGGGGCCGAAAGGTGGGTGGCAGATCACCGAGGTCGAGGTGCCCGGTCGCCTCGCCAGGTTGCAGGTGCAATACACGGCCGACGAGTCTTCGGAGGATGCTGTCGCAGGTATTGGGCATGTCAAGCTGCACGCCAGCAACGCCAAAAAGTTCCACGTGCAGCTCGATGCACTGCAAAGCTCAACGGTCGCCACATTTGGGAATGCGAGCGCCGTGCGCGTCACCTTGAACGGTCAGACGTCGAATGTGGACATTGAAGGTGCACGTACACTCGCATTCGAAGCTGGACCCAGTGGAGAATGGCAAGTCCTGGCTTCGGAAACAAGGTCGATCGATGCACCGGCGGCGCGACCCATCGGCCCGCTGTTGCGCATTGTCTCCACTGCGGGGCCGATGGTGCTGGTAGTGCCCTCGGAAGGACCTGTGACGGAGGTGTCCATGTGGAAGCGTGTTGCGCAGCGTTTTGCAGCGGATCTACTCCTGTACGCCGGGATCAACTCGCAGCTGGTGCCCGACGCCAATTCTGCCGCACTCGTAGAGGCATGGCTCAAAGGTCATCTGGGCAACGTAGTCGCATTCGGCGGTCCGCACATCAACAGCTACTCGCGCACAATCTACTACGATTGGCCCACGAAGCATCCGATCCACTTTGTCGATCCCGAGTCCTCGGCTCAATTCCGGATCCAAGGTCGCCACTTCTATGAAAATGGCACGGCCCTGCTGACGCTTGCGCCTCATCCGGAGCTGCGCAACGGCCTCGCGATGGTAGTGCACGGCATTGGAATAGAGGGCATTAGCCGCGCTGCGCGACTGCTGCCAACACGAACTGCAACGATGATTCCCGAGTGGATCGTCGTCGATTCCACCGCCGAGTGGATGGGCGAGGGCGGAGTTCAGGCTGCAGGCTGGTACGACGCCGACTGGGGCTGGTCCGAAGGCATGTCGTATGTCCAGTGATTGTCATTTCGCACTCTTAGCATAACTTACTGTAGCCGACTGGGCCATCGTCTTTTGCATATGCACGATAAACCGAAGTGAGTCACTTGGCGATCAAAGCTGCGTGCGCTGTTCGGCGTCGAACCGCCGCAAATGACTGCGGGGTAAATCGTCGCGCTTACAAGCGATCAGCTGCCGCTCTGATGTCAGGTAGAGCCGGTAGAACCTTGCGGAATCTGATGCGCGCCAGCCCCAAGTCGCAACGGCCACTGCCGCGATTGGCGAGCGACGAAGGAGGCGGAGGCGCGCAGCGAAGCGAGGCTGGGAAAGCTTGGATTCTCTCTTTTCCCCGCACCTTCTTTTGGCTTAGCCTGCTGGACCCTGGCCATGTGCCTCCGACCCCAGCTGGGACTGGCTCGCATCGCTACCCCGCATTCTCCTACGCGCCGCGCTCTGCTTGGCCTAATTTAGCCGCACCACCGCTCTCGGGCCATCCAAGCGGGCCGAACAAAAGGAAAGAGGGACCCTGGCAGCCATAGCAGACGCTCCCCCGCCTTTGCTCTGTCACTGGCGGAGCATTGGACGTGCCGATAAAGGTGCAGCTCTGTCGGTCATGTGCCCGCGCGCCTGGGCCACGGCGGCAGTCGGCGTTGTGTCGTGTCACTTTTGAATCGACTCGGTGTGCCTTCCGCTCCAGCCGATGAAGTCTCCTCGCATGCTCGCATCCACCCAAATTTTGACCGCGCGCGAGCGCAGATGGTTTAGCCTGTTTGTGCGCAGATTGGCGCTCAGAGTCTCGAGTCGATGTGCTGGTGTGACACACAGGCAGAAGAGGCGCGCGCAGTCGAGACCATCCCCGCGCCAGGTGCCGCCAGCCACAGTGCATTCCAATGTGGCTGCTGCCCGCGCATGCTGCCCGCTGCCCGCTGCCCTTCGCCATCAGCACTTGTTGCCATGTGTCCGTGCCCACCAGTGGGAACTGAGCTGCAGTGTATATTAAGAAGGCGGTTGCACCGCCTCCCGCGCCCCCCGCTCCCTCCAGCTGTCTGCGTGTTTGCCCTCTGCGTCTAACCTCCTTCCAGCCAAACACCACCATGGGTCTCTTCTCTGCTGCTTCGCCGCTCAAGCCGGACGCCTCGACGTACGCCACCGCCGCCAACCTGCCTCCCTCCACCGTCGAGGAGGCACACAAGGCCAAGAGCTACGACTTTATCATCTGCGGTGGTGGCACGGCAGGATGTGTGATCGCCAGCCGTCTCTCCGAGGACCCCAACACCTCGGTGCTCGTGCTCGAGGCCGGTGGCAACAATGACGCCCTCGAGGTCAAGGCACCCCTCGTCTTCACCAAGAACTTCAAGACCGAGCGCGACTGGGACTACACCACCACGCCCCAGACCGAGGTGCGCAACCGCGAGATGCAGTGGCCCCGTGGCAAGCTCATCGGCGGCTCTTCCTCCATCAACGCCATGATGTACCACCACTGCGCACCCTCCGACTACGACGAGTGGGCCGAAAAGTTCAACTGCAAGGGCTGGTCGTACAAGGAGCTGCAGCCCTACCTCAGGCGTTCCGAGAAGTACACGCCTCACGCCTTCACGCCCGACGTCAAGGCCGCCGAGCGCGGCGACGCCGGTCTCTGGCAGACCGGCCACTCGTCCTTCAAGAGTGAGGTCACCTCCAAGGGCTTTGTGAATGCTTGCGTCGAAGTCGGCATTCCGTACAACCCGGATCTGAACACGCCTCGCGGAACCGAGGGTGTCACCCACTTCACCACCTTCATCGACAGCAACGGCCGTCGCTCGTCTGCTGCCACCGCCTACCTCCCCCTCGAGGTGCAGAAGCGCCCCAACCTCACCATCGGCATCAACGTCATGGTCAACCGCATCATCTTTGACACCACCGGCGCCAAGCCCAAGGCCATCGCCGTCGAGATGCAGAACAAGAAGGGCGGTCAGAAGTACTACGCCGCCGCCAACAAGCGTGTCGTGGTGTGCGGCGGTGCGATCAACTCGCCCCAGACGCTCATGCTCTCGGGTATCGGACCTGCCGCCACACTCAAGAAGCACAATATCCCGGTCATTGTTGACAACGCTCTGGTAGGCGAGCGTCTGAGCGACCATCTTTGCCACACCACCATCAACGCGCGTGCCAAGCCCAACCACACGCTCGACTATCTCGGCAGCGACATCAAGGCCATCCCTTCGCTCGCTCGCTGGCTCGTCACGGGTGGTGGACCGGTCTCGAGCAATGCCGGTGAAGCGGCTGCCTTTGTTCGATGCAACGACGAGTCGCTGCCGCTCGTGACGGCGCAGACCAAGCCCGAGAACCGTCCGCAGTTCTTCGGCTCGCTCGGCAAGGGTCCCGATATCGAGCTCATCTGCACGCCGCTGGCGTACAACGACCACGGCGCGCTGCCTGCCCCCGCCGGCACGGGCTGTGTTTCGATCGTCGGTCTCAATGTGCGTCCGCGCTCCAAGGGCACCATCAGCATCCAGTCGGCCGATGCCTGGGACAAGGCGGTGGTGGATCCCAAGTACTTTAGCGATCCCGATGACAACGACCGCAAGGTGACGCTCGCCGGTATGCGTCTTGCCATCGCCATCGCCAAGGCCAACGCGCTGCAGCCGTACCTCGAGGAGTACAAGAGCGACGACAAGGACGACTTCTACTGGCCCATCTCGGCCACCGACCCGAGCAAGCTCTCCGACGACGAGCTCATGGACTTTATGACCAAGCGCGCCTTCACCCTCTACCACCCCGTCGGAACCGTCAAGATGGGTCCAGATGCCAGCGATTCGGTCGTCGACACGGATCTCCACGTCCATGGAACCGAGGGCCTCGTTGTGTGCGACGCGAGCATCTTCCCCGAACAGATCTCGGGTCACCCCACCGCCGCCGTCATCGCCTGTGCAGAGAAGGCCGCAGAGCTGCTCAAGCAGGTCGCCAAGTCCGGCGCACAGGGCATCGCCTCCCACCTGTAATGATTTTGCTTTGTCTGTCAATGGATCGTGTGAATGCAGCGTAAAAATGTCGCGATGGAAGCTGTGGTGCGATCTCAAAGAGATGCAGTTGAGATCTTGGCGCGACAATCGAGATGGGATCGATTGAGGATGCAGACTGGTAGTTGGGATTACGCACTCTCAAACGCGATGGTGGTGGTGGTGGAGCCTTTCGCGCCGCCAAAGGTGAATGCGGGGGTGGGGACGACCTGCTGCACGGTGAACCCGTGCGCGGTGAAGCGCGCGACGAGTTCGGCCTCGGTAAAGTTGCACGAGGTGATGAGGAACACGGCACCTTTCTTTGTGAGCTTGGCAACTGCCTCGGTGTATCTATCGATGGGGAGGGTGCCGTCGATGGGCTGGGACGAGAGCGCAATGGCGTCGAGTGTGCCCTTGTCGCACACGAGGTCCCATCCGGTCTCGCTGCATCCGAGTTGGCTCCTGGGCATGTCGACGAGGTGCTGCACATTGGCTGGGTCCAAGATGTCGGCGGTTTCGAAGCGGACCTCCTCGCATGTGCCGCCGCGTTTGGTGGCGATGGACCGCGCAAGCTCGATCGACGCCGCCGAGTAGTCGACGCCCACCAGACGGCTCGGCGCAACAATCTCCTCCAGATCAGCACTCGACTCGAGCATCTCGAATAGCAGATGACCGTTGCCCGTGCCCAGATCCAGCACAGCGGGCGCCTTGCCCTCTTCTTCGGACGAGAACTCGCCAGCGACGGTGTCGGTGTAGTACGTCTCGAGGAAGCGGATCATACGCATCACCGCATCCTCGCCGAACCACACCTCGCCCTCTTCGCCAATCTCGTTGAACACCGACACCTCGCGCGCGTACACCTCGTCCCAGTGCTGCTTGGTACCCAGTTTGGACTCAGGCAGTGCCTCGCCCTCTTCCACCGCCGCCGTCGTGTCCTTCGCGCCCTTGGTCGTGCTCGGTGCCAACGCGGCAATGGGGATGGCGACGCTCTGGCCGATCTCGATGGTGGCGAACTCGGCCAGGTCGATGCCCTGACGCTGCGCCTCCTCGATGAGACGCTTGGGAGGCTCGTTGACGTCTTCGGGCGTGAGCCGGAAGCTGCCCCAGTGGATGCCGTATGAGCGCCTGCTGCGCACGTCGCGATGCACGAGCACCGAGTCCTGCGGTGCCAGATGCACCGTCGACATGAAGAAGCGTGGCTCGTAAGCGCCGATGGGGATGAGTGCAGCATCGAATGGTCCGAGCGCCTCGCCGATTTCTTTGAATGCAGGGCAGGTTGGCAGCGTATCCTCTTCCTCCCTGGGCATGCCGCGCGGCACGGTTCGGTAGCCGGTGTCGCCGGCAAAGTACACGCTCGCTTTGGAGGAAGCCTCGGAGACGGCGTGGAAGGTCCAGCCGGCCCAGAGCGTGCGGTCGCGGTCCAAGAGCCCGCGGCCCGAGAAGTGCTGTGCCGGTACGCAGGTGAGCTTAAGCACGGCTTCGCTGCCGAGCGAGACCGTGCTTTGCTCCCACCAGTCGCACTCGGTCACCTCGGCGTCCGTGAGGCCAAAATTGGACTGGAACCAGGACTTGGTGCCGAGCGTGCAGAAGACGTGTGGGCGCTTAACGCGAGCGGATGCCGGCGGGTTGAGAAGCTTGGAGATGGTGTTGTAGTCGGTGTGGTCGTAGTGGTTGTGCGAGAGGACGAGGAGGTCGGGCCATGCGTTCTTGCCGCCTTTCTCCGTGTCCGCGGCCATCTCCTCGACGGTGACTGGAGCGTCAGTGTAACGTGCAGGCCCGATCCACTGGAAGGGAGATACGCGCTGAGAAAGGACGGGGTCGCAGAGGATGGTCACGACTCGGCCATTTCCGATGGGGATCTGAAGATGGCAGATGGCGTGGCCGAGCCAAGTGTAGACGATGCTGTCGGCACTATCGGCGGAGGCGGCAGGCGTCCAGGTGGGTTTGTGGACGGGCGGAAGGATGGCTCCTCCAGCTTTGGATGCGAACTTGGGCGGCAGAGGCGGTTCGTCCCAATCAAAGAGACGAGTTCGGAAGAAGCTGAGCATGCCGTGCATGTCGGCCGACGGCCATGGCGACTTGAACTTTCGTCGCGACACGTCGAGGGGTGCCGCATCGCTCAAAGGCTTCGAGACATTGGACCAGTGCGGCGGAGGTGTCGTCTTGTAGAAGGCGGGTGCTACCCTGCTCTCCGACTGTGACTTGGACACTGACCAGGAAGCGGAGGCTGTGGTGGACGACATTCTGCTCGCGGGTGTGCCTGCCGAAGGTCGACAGATGTGTGTTCGAGCGAGACGAAAGATGCCAGAGCGAGAATGGAGATCCCGCATGGACCTGCGCTGGTTTGAAGCGATTGCAGCGAAGATGCGACTGCGGATGGTGGTGGGAGTGCGGTAGACAGGTGAGCGACGATTGATGATGCTAAAATTCCCACCGCTCAAATGGGCGGAACTTTTTTTCGGATGGTCCGGCGCAGTCGACGTGCCGAATACGTCGGGATTGCCGCGGAGATGGATACGCCTTTCCCACGCGACGTGGCTACTCGGAGTCGATGGGTGGAGCTTGGCCAATGCCACGTCGAGCTTTCGGGCTCGATCCGGACCCTTCACTGCTATATCTTGCGAAACATCCCGCTCCATCCGCACCACGACGCAGAAGGGAATGCTCTAGCATTCCACCTCGAGCGAGCTGGACTTGAAGCCAGTATGCTCGCCGAGCCATCCGCCAAGGATGACGACCGGCTCTCGGTCACCGCCATCGCCGATGCCGAGCTCGACAGCACGGGAGCCGGCTCGCCACCCTCGACGACGCTAGAGGAGCTCGCGCTATCGGATCACGGCGACGAGCACGCCAGTCCAGCTGCCAACCCACATGGTCAGGCACCAGACGCGCGTCCCACCGAGCCTGCAGATGCGTCCCACCCAGCGCGTGCCGCGGCGGCGTCGCGGAGCCAACTTGATTCGGCACTTGGCGGCGTCCTCGTGATCAGCGGTGGAAGCGGATACAACGACCTCGTTGGTGCCACTCCGGGTGCTACCTATGTCATGCCCATCTCGGACAACGGCGGCTCGTCGTCTGAGATCATCCGTGTGCTCGGCGGGCCCTCGATCGGCGACATCCGATCGCGTCTCAACCGGCTGATCCCGACGCCAGCACGTCACGATTCTGCCGCTGCGCCATCGAACGACGCGATCCACAAGCTGCTTGCGTACCGCCTTCCGTCGCACGGCTCGTCGCGCGAGATCAAGCAGGAATGGATGGACATCCTCGAGGGTCGCCACCGACTGTGGCGCGGCATCGAGCCCGAGCGCAAGGAAGTCATCCGCGGCTTTCTGGTGCACTTTGAGAGCGAGGTGCTGCGCCGCGCACATCGCCATTTCAACTTTCGTGGCGGATCGATCGGCAACTTCTTCCTCGCCGCCGCGCAGAAGTTCTTCCGCTCCATCCAGAGCGCCATCTTTCTCTTTGCCGCCACCACCCAGATCGACACGTCGTCGTTTGCGAGCAAGGTGCTGCCGGTCATCAACACCAATCACACGGCTACCATCGCGGCCGAGCTACAGGATGGAGACATCATTGTCGGGCAGTGCGAGATCTCGCATCCGTCGCCCAAAGCCTCGGATCGCGCTGCCTCCCAAATGGAGAAGAGCGGCTCGCTCGCAAGCCAGCCGCCGGGCACTCCCTCGTCGGCGGTGTTTGATGCGCGCGCGGCACAGACGCTGCTGGGCGATGGCGGCCCTTTGACACCCGGATTCGGTCCGCCGGCGCACTACCACGTGACGGAGCCGTTTGAGTCGAACTACACGTCGATGAGCGGCAGTGTCGATATGCTCCGAATGGGCACCTCGGAGAGCGAGGCGAGGCCATCGGCGGCGGCGGCGGCTCGGCAGTACGGGGCATCGGCAACTCCGCTGCGGACTGGTGCCGGTCCGAGCCCGCTATTTGCGCAGCTGGTGGACGAGCGTGCGGCGGCATATGCGGCGCAGGTGCGCAAGGGCCGCACGACGGTCGGCAACCACAAGGACGGCCTGGACCCGGAAGACGACGACCAGGACTCGCAGGACGGCAACGATCCAACCGACTCGCCGCGCGACAGCAGCGCCGCCGAAGACGACCCTACCGACGCCAGGCACTCGGTCCCCGAGCTTGGATGGTCACACCAGCAGGGTGGCGCCAAGAAGCTCGCCCGGTCGGCGCGCAGGGAGCAGACGGGCAACATCATCTTTTCCAAATCGGACGATGCGGCGGAGCCGGCACTGGCGTCGCCCATCCGTCGCATCCTGTACGTCAATGCGTATCGAAACGAGATCCATCCTGCGCCGAATCCGGCGTTTGTAGGCGCTTTGGGGCGATGTCAGACGCTCATCTACTCTTGCGGCTCGCTATGGACGAGCATCATCCCGTGTTTGGCTCTGCGCAGCATCGGCACTACAATCGCCACCTCGACCAAGCTGCGGTACAAGGTGCTGCTGCTCAACACGATCCACGACCGCGAAACACGCGGGATGGACGCGCTGGATTTCGTCAGCGCCATCTGCGACTCGCTCAACCACTCGGACCAGCCAGAACTTGCAGACGCGCAAGCCTACACGCCGAACCAGTTCATCACGCACATCGTCTACTTCCCCGCCGCCAGCATTGCTGTCGACACCCACCGGCTAAACAAGATGGGCATCACATGCATCCCTGCCGCCTCGACAACGTCCAAAAACGGCACTCCCATCTTTGACCAAGACGCACTCACCGCCGCTTTGCATCACATCACACGCCAGACTTAGAATCGTATCCTTGGGAAACCCATGCAATGTCGGAGCAATACCAGTGTGTACAGAAGCGGAAAATGCGGGCGTGTGATTGGGTGTACTTAGGACTGTTCGAGGGTGGCGAGGTAGTGTACGTCGTCGCAGTCGCGGATGCGCTTGGCGGCCTGTTCGGCGGTGAGATCGCGCTGGGGCTCGGCCATCATTTCGAAGCCCACGAGGAACTTGCGCACCGAGGCGGAGCGCAGCAGCGGCGGGTAGAAGTGGATGTGGAACTGGGCAAATTCGTCGTCCTCGCTGGTGGCCAGCTGTGTTGGCTGCTGGTGCACGCCCATCGAGTAGGGGAAGGAGCACTTGAAGACATTGTCGAGCTTGCACGTCACCTGCGCGATGATGCGCGCCAGCGACACCACCTCCATCTCGGTCATTTGGAGCACATTGCGGATCTGCCTCTGTGCCGGCACCACGAGCACCTCGAACGGCCACACGGCCCAGTACGGCACGATGGCCACAAAGTGGTCGTTGGCCATGATCACGCGCGGCTGGCCGGGCGTGGTGAGCTCGAGCTTGGCGAGCGTGAGCAGCATCGAGGGCTTGCCGTGGTCGTCGCACGCGCCGAGGTTCACCTTGGGGTCCTGGTTGGCCGGATCCTGCGACCAGGCGCGCAGCGATGCCAGCTCCTTGCTCGGCTCTTCGGGGATGTAGTCGAGCGACCACACCTGACCGTGCGGGTGCGGATTTGAGCAGCCCATGGCGGAGCCTTTGTTCTCAAAGATCTGGATGTACTTGACGAAAGGATTTTCGGCGGGGATCTGCTTGTAGATCTTCTGCCAGCTCTGGATGATGGGCACGATGTGCTCGTCTGGCGAGAAAGGCGCTGTGCTGAGCTGTGCGAGCGTGAGGTTGTGCTGCGGGTTGAAGCAGATGACGTAGCATCGACCGCGCGCCGGCTGCGACTGGAGCAGCGGGTGCTGGTTCTTCTCCTCGGCTACCGCCTGCGGCATGAGAGCGGCATAGTCGTTCTCGAAGAAGAAGGTGGATGTGTAGTCGTCGTTGGTGGCGCCCGTGGCGCGCTTGTTGCCCGGGCAGAGGTAGCACTTTTCGTCGTAGGCGGGGAGCGATGTGCCCTGCGGTTTCTCCTCCTGGCCCTGCCACGGACGCTTGGTGCGGTGGGGCGAGCAGAGCACCCAGCTGCGCGTCAAGGGGTTGTACCTGCGGTGCGGATGTTCCGTTGCGTCGAAAGCTGGCAGCTCGTCATCCGAGTCGTCGGCGTACGAAGCGCCGTTGACAAGGCCGTTTGCGTGGCCGTTCGTGTGGCCATTTGCGTGTCCGTTGGCGTGTCCATTTGCGTGCCCGTTGGCGTGTCCGTTGGCAAGCCCATTAGTGTGGCTGCTGCCGTTTGCAGTGACTCCGTTCATTATGGAGACAGATGTGATGAGCGCCCAGACCGATGGGCCGGATCAAGTACGAGGCTGGGTTTTGCGGATCTGCTGCTCGTAAAGACTCGAGCAAGATTCGTGAATCCGATTCGAGAACTACTTGCGATTGAAGACGATGCGTTGATGTCGTGGTGAGCAAAGGCGATGTGATGGTAATGGAGATGATGGGGAAGGGAGCAGGGATGTCGTGCGTTCTGATAAGCAGGGATGGTGCCGGAGCTGGGTGAAGCGCGCTGGTCTTCGTCGGAGGTTGGGCGTTCAAAGTGGCACTTTTGGCGGTGGACCTTATGCAGAGGGATGCAGAGCTGCACCAACGCAGCCACAAAGCCGTCCAGGGGCTGTTGTCGGCTCATCCGCGCTGACTTTGACTCGGCTGGTGCCTGGCTGGCTGGATCTGGAGCGCGCGCTGTGGGGTGGAGGAGCCGTCGGGCAACGGCCAACACAGAGTGTGGGATTTGGATGATTTTTGCTTTCGAGCATGACGTTGCCGTTGCTCTCCCGTCGTGCCCGCGCCAAAAACCTCATTTTCTCGTGAGCTTGGCCAGCTCGGCCAGCTCGAGCTCGAGACCCTGACTTTCCTCAACCTCGCCTGGGGCGCTGGGCAAAGTCCGAACCATGAATCCCGAAAGGCGACGAGAACGCCGGACAGTCCTCCCCGAAAATATGCAGCTGCACACCGCACAATTGCCAATTTTCCACCGACCAATTCCGAAGACCGGCAAATATCGACATCGCCCGGTCACCCGCTGGCTCGACGCTCGACCCGCACTCACTTGCAGTAGCGCCTGCTCTCGCTCGGCTCGGAGAGAAATCGGAACATTTGGCATTCGAAGGGGTCCCCCACATAGCACCGCACAAAAGAATAGTCTCGGAGATCTCGCCGCTCTCCGCACAATGCACTGGAGATCTTTTGAAGGGCGCGGTGTGATCTCGCTCATTCCTCCTTGCCGCTGGTCTGCTTGGCCGGACGTGGAGTGTCGAGAAGTCCGACAATGCGCAGCATCATGTCGAACGTCAGCAGTAGTGGGATCAGGCAGAAGGGAATGTAGTTCCTGCAAGCACCAACAGTGTCAGCATCGATGCGGCGAATCGCGGACAGGCTTTACAAGCACCGTGCACTTACTGTAGCAAAGCGCGAATCTGCGCTGAGGTCAGTCCGGCACCATCGTCTCCGTAGAGAACGCTGAAGATGCACTGCAGAGTCGACGAGGCGGCTGTAGTCCACCACCACACACCAACGTCAGAAATTTTAGCGACGGTCGACATGGCTTCCGCACGAGGCTGCTACTTACCCAGAGTACCGTAGCACACCATAAGAGGATATGTTCGCCTCTCATCTACCCAGCCAGCCCGAAAGAAGGTGTCAACACCGTATCCTTCCCGACAACAATCACGCCTTACTCACCGTTCAGCAGGCCCCAGATGGCAACGATGAAGCACGGGATCTGGAACACGGTCTCGCTTGCCAGCAGTACACGGAACCAGACGTGCGCCGACGACTGGGCAGCTGCAGCCAGCAGGAACGGATCCTTGGATGTCGTCAGGTAGTCCTGCAGCACCTTTCGCAGCGGCGCCGGAAACACGCTCTGCGAGTACGGCGGATAGGTCAACTGCGCATCGATCGCCAACGACGCCAACAGGTGGATGCCAAAGTACGACAGATACAGCACATCCATAGGCCGCTCCGTCAGCGTCTTGCGTCGCTCCATCGCTGCCATGCTGCCTCGCGATTGCTCCATCTTGACAGGCTGTTGAAGAAGGTCCGAGTGCAAGCAACTGCCAGTGTCTGCCTTGTTCGCAAATTGGGCGCGTGCCGGTCCCACCGCACTTCGGACCCTGATCTACACCCGATCCCATCGGGGCGATCGAAGCACAGATCGGGTCGGGCTCGACTCTCGGCATGCTCACGGCACAGCCACGGCCTCACACACACCGTGACTTCGACAGGCTGACCAGAACATGCAAAGCGTGACTGCGATTAGCGCTAAAAGTTCGACGGCGTGCTGCGGGTATTCGACATGTTGGCCTCGATCTGCGTGTCGAGGAAGGCGTTGAGATCAAACGGCGACGGGGCTGGAGCCGTCGATGCGGGTGTCTTGGCCACGAACGGCACCGAACCTGGGCTGCTCGACATGGGCGCGATGTGCGCATTCACATACGGCAGTCCAGCCAGAAAGTCGGTCATGGTGCTGCCGAAAGTCGATAGATCGTCCGTGCCCGGTGTCCCCCACGACGCCGCTGTACTCGTTGTCGCCGTCGCCGTCGGCGCCGGCCCATTCCAGGGCATATCCGCCACAATCGCCGCCACATTCATCGGCACGGTCGGAGCCGCGGCGGGCTCAAACACGCTCGAGAACCGATCGCGCTCCTGCTTGAGCTTCGCCTCGTTCGTTGACCCGAGCCCAGGGATCATCTCAAACTCGGTGTAGAGACCCGAGAGCATCTTGCGCATCCTCGCCGCCTCGGCCTGCGTGTCCGGGTGGCACTGGTACGTGCTGAAGGCATAGATCTTCTTGCCCGCCTTGGACAGCAGGTCCGCCGTGAGCTCGCGCAGCCCCGCCTTGTACGTGAGCTTGGCCATCTCGAGCGTGTAGTACGCGCCGCCCTTGGCCGAGCTGCGGAACGCAATCGAGGAGTAGTCCAGCAGATTGACCGCGGCAAACGAAGGCGGCACCGAGATGGCTGCCAGCTGCGGACACAGCTCCGACATGCGATCGATGGCGCTGAGCAGCAGCGAGTCGATGCGTTGACGCGCGCGTAGAAAGAGCGTGCCTTCGTGGTTGCCGCTTTGCGCAGGTCGCTGTAGGCCGTGAGCGTGCACCATGGCGTGTATGCAACGATACTGGCTCCACAGCAGCAGATTGAGGAACGCCTTGCGCACCAGGATCGAGATGATGTCCTCGCTCACATTGTCGTGCGGGATGAGCTCGCGCAGCGATGGCGCCTCTGCCTCGGCGGTGGCGGACGACTTCCACTGCAGCGCCTCGGGGATCTGCCTTTCGAAACGCTCGAGCTGATCGAGCACGTCCAAGATCGCCGACGGCGGAATGCCGAGTCGGCGCGACTTGGCAGCGCAGATGGTAAGGTTGTTGGTGCGCAGCACCGACGCCAAGAACGAGAGCTGGTACGCCCATTGGTTGCCGATCGGCCCTCCGAGGTCGGCCGTCATGGCGTCCGGGTCGATGTCTTCCTGCAGAAGCTGGTGCCTGTGGAAGAGGTCGAAGCTGCGGATGATGTCGTTGACCGAGGCGACGGCCAAGATGAGCGGCATGCGCTCTTCGTTGACGTTGCAGAGCATATGGCGATCCGGGCTGCGCTGCTTGTTGCGCTGCGCCTTGACCATCGGATCGTCACGCGAGCGGTTGAGGCCGTGATAGGTGACCAGACGAATCATCTTGGCGTGGCTCATGGGATGGACGAAGCCGGCATCGAGACTGGCCGTGGTGGCTTCTTCGACCGCCCTCGTGCGCGCCGGCACATCAAAGGTGAGCAGGATTGCCTCGAGAACATCGAGCGCGACGGTGACGTCCTTTGTGCATGCCTGTGAGACGAGCTTTTCGAGGCGTCGATAGATGCGAGCCTGGAGCTCGAAGCGGTTGGGAGCGTAGCCGAGCTGCACCACGCCGACGCATGCCACCGCCAGAATGAGGATATCGGATGGAGGGAATTTGTCTAGGTCGGGTGCCGAAGGTGCGACGCCATCGATTTGGTTGAGGTAGCGTCTGTATCTCGGATAGAAGTGTTGTGGATGGAGTGCCGGATTGCACCAGTAGGTTGTGCGGAAGTGCGAGGCGATGGCATCGTCTAGGATGGGGCGGGTCAAGCCGCGCACCTGCAGCATATCTGGCTCTGTCGCAGCGGCAGCGACAAAAGGCGCTTCCTGAGCGGGACGAGACTCGGATCGGAGGTCGGCGAAGCGATCCTGCGCGGGTCGCTCGTCGTGAGCATCGGACTTTTTGCGCTTCTTGCGAGCAGCGGCAGCTGCCGCTGCGGAGGCCTGAACTGCTGCAGACGCCGACGTGGATGCCGAAGCAGAGGTGGAAGGATCGCCAGCAGAGGCTGGCTCCGTGTCCGAGTTGTCTGCATTTGGGCGAGCGTCGTCGGTGATGATGCAGTCGTATCCTCGCGCGCAACAGAAGGAGCAGAGCGAGATGCCTTCTGCGTTGCGCTGATCCTTGTCGCACTTGACCTTCTTGCGACGACAAGGATCGCAGGAGGCGCGAGGCGTGCCGCGCTTTCCCATGTTGCTGTGATGGTCGCTTGCTGGGCCTGGCGCGGAAGAAGTGGGATGGCGAGAGGAAAGAGACGCGAACAAGGAGCTGGAGTAGGCGACCTATTTAGGGTAGACTTGGCTCGACGGAGGTGCCGATGCCATCTCCTTGCGACAGCTGAGGCGATGAGCGGATCTCGGCGACCTGAAGAGAACGTCGTTACGCCGAGCACACCATGGGTGCGTCGAGGCGGTGGGGCGTAGGGAAACGCGATGAAGGCACAGGTCGCCGCCGACGAGACCAATGCACAGCCTCACGCGTGGACAGCAGACTGGCGCTCCACTAGACCCGAGCTCCTCTGACCGGCGGTGTGGGGCGTCAAATGGGGTGCATGGATGCTTCGGTGCAGCTGAGACTCGTGGCAGATAACGAGTTTGCGATTCCTGCGCGTAGAGCGCCACGTGTTGCAAAGCAGCAGCGGGTGGGCAGGTAGCGCGTGGATGGCGTTTCGCCGGCGGACAATGGGTGGCTGGCGGGTGCGGCTGCGGATCGATGTGGGTTCGGGTTGAGGACGCCGATGAAGGCTGGGATGGCGGGAGTGGGGATGGAATGCCCACTTTGCCGGTGATGATGCGGCGACCCTGAGAATTTCGAGACTAGGCGGATGCAGCGTTAGTGTGCGGCGCAGTCGAGCTCGGTGCGGATGGGCCGACCGCATGCGAATGCGCGAAACGCACTCGCGCTAGCCGCCGAACCCTGACCGAGCTCGGGTTTTAACGATCTAACACTCCAGAAGCTCGCGGAAATTGCGGGGTAAATGCCGGCACATTCATCCTTCTGCGCACCGGCCACGACGCCTCCACCCGGTTCCTTCCCGCCGGCGCTTTAGCCCTCTCGCTTCCTCCTCTCCTACCCTCACCTACAATTGTCCACTCGCACATATATACAGCCACCATGTCCAAGGGTCGCTCGCTTCCATCTGCGCTCAAGCAGCTGCTGCAGCAGCCTACGTTCCCAGCACGAGCTTCGCGGTTGTCGGCATCCAAACAGCTGCCGGCCGGTCGATCGGCCAATCCCACACCGACGCCCAAGCTTACGGGCATAAGCCAGCATTTTCAGAGCTTGCAGGCCGAGGCCAAGCAGAAGGGCCTGGGCTGGGGCGAGTGGCTCTCGATCGCCACTGCGACGCTCTTCACTCTCAACAATCCTGGCAGCCTGCAGGCGCTCCACAAGTTTGCGGCGGGCGACAAGGCCATCAGCCTCGAGCACAGGAAGCAGGTGGCGCTGCTCATGCGCGAAACCGGGCTCAAGTGCATCGGATTCATCGGCATTCCCAAGGTGATCAACAATCTTGCTGCGCTCAGAAAGGCGGTTGAGGAGGACGCAGAGCTGGTCACGGCGCTCCCCACCGAACCGAGGAGGTAAGTTTGTGCGAATCGCGCGGTATCGTGCAAGAAGACTGACATTCGGTGCTTGACGATACAGACAAATCAAGTCGGATCGAATCGACGTGGTGCACAAGGCTGCATACAGTCTGTGGGACGATATCTACACGCCTCACTCGGACAAGCTGCTCAAGATCCTCGGCACCTCGCATCCGGATCTGCCCATCTTTATCGTCGAGTCCGAGTACGGTCCGCTCTTCTCGTCCCCGGCGTCGTTCACGCTGGCCTCGGATCCCGAGTCGGCGCGAGTGGAGCCGGAATGGGACGTGAACCGTCTGCGCACCTCGCTCGTGGCCATCTCGGCGCTTCGAGCCCAGGGCGGCGTGGGTCCGCAGGTGACCAGCCACGTCTGGGGCTTGCTCAAGGCCAGAGACTCGATCAAGCCCAACGATGCGGCCAAGGCCGGTCTCGAGTGGCTCACCACCGAGGAAGGCGCACTCTGGGTCGTCCGCACTGTCGACAGTGTACGTTCAAAACGCCCGTTGCACGGTTCCAGTCGAGTCGGTTACTGACAACACCCTTTTGTTTTTGGTTCAGATCTGTGAGGCGGTGGAAGGAGCAGAAGAGTTCGAGGGTATGGGCAAGGAGAGCAAGCTCTAGACGTTCAAAGCACGACAGTTCATGCCCTGGGCTGGTAGAACCACCACGCTGTAATCGCACCGATGATGAACACCTCGAGCAGACCACCTGCCAAGCTGCCACCGCCAGCGAGGAGGAGAAGGCTCCAGATGTAGCCCACGAGTCTGTCGAGCACCACACCGCTGGTGGAGAGCAGCAGTCGCTGAGTCGATGGGAGCGTCTCGTATGGGTTGAGCGACGAGAGCAATTGCGGCGATGAGCCGGGCGGTGGCAGACGGAGCAGGGTAGTGATGGGCTTGTGGTCCGAGTGGGTGTACTGCATGATGCTGCGGTAGAACTCGACCTCAACGCCGTGCTGTGCGTTCTGGTCCCGAGCGGGCGCAGATGCCCACAGGATGCGATCGGTCCAGCCGGGCACGCGCTTCTTGTTGAGCGTATGACCCTCCAGGGCATCCGACGTAATGCCGGCGTTCTTCTTCTTGGTCTGCTTGCCCGGCCGCGACACGACGTACTTGTAAGTCGGCGGAACGCCAGCTTGTTCGATGGGCAGCTCCGTGAGGCCGTGGAACGCCTTGGGTGGCTGCGACAGACGCTGGTAGCTCAGCTGGTCGTACTCTGACAGCGTAGACCAGTCGCCCGCTTCGAGCGCCTTGAAGAGCGACTCTTTGGTCAGCTCCGAGGAGGCGCCGGCCTTTTCGTCGCCTTTGCGTGCGCGCTCGAGTTCGCTCTTGCCCAGCGCAATGCGGTGATTGAGATCGCCAAACACGAACAGGTGCGTCGTGTCGTACACCGTGTAGCTCTTGTCGTCCAGCGGAGCGGTCTTCCTTGCGCGCTTGTCGGGCTGCGTCTCTTTCTCGTGCTGCCGCTTGAGTGCGTCCATGTCGTTGGGGTTGAGCGGCTTCGAGCTTTGCTCCTGCAGGATTGGAAGCTTCTGCACCGACGTCGGCTCGAACACCATGCGCTGGACGATCTGCTGCCAATCCTTGTTGCGGCGCAGCACGTTGTGGTCGTGCGCAGCCAGATGCGCGCTCACAAAGGTGAGCACCTCGTCTGGCCCCTTGCCGTCCGCAGCGGCTACAACGATGCGCACGCCGACGCCACCCTTGTTGCCCATGACGCCCGCCAGACCGGTGCCGACTTTGGCAGCGCGAATCTCCTTGACGCGGTGCGCTGCACTGCGCGCGCTCGTAGTGGTCGCTTTGGACACGGAAAACGCCGCTCGCTCTCGGGCGTAGACGAAGAGCGCGATGCCCACCAGGTCGACCCTGCAGAGCAGCGGATAGCCTTCCGGTCCTCCGCCCTCCTCGAGGCTAGCGTACATGCCTGTGCCCGATACTACCGCCTGATGCGGACGCACCGTCCTGCGAATGTCGAGGTCCGTGTTGTAGAGAGCCACATGGCCTGACGCTGCAAAGCCGGTATGGAGCGGGATGAGCTCTTGGAAGCCTACAGCGTAGAAGTCGGGTGCCTCGCGCGGCAGCGATGGATGCGTAGACGGCGTCTTGGCATTGCTCGACTTGTATGCAGCTGCCTCGAGCACGTTGGCGTTGGTGACCGGCTTGGACGAGACGGGCTGGACGGGTCTTTGTTCCGCTGCGGGGATCAGCCAGGGAGTGAGGTCGTGCCGCGTGGTCTCTGCGCCTTGCAGGTTGGCGTTGTAGGAGGCGATCTGCACGCGCAGCCCAGATCCACTCATCTTGACGTTGGCAGCAAGGATGTGGTGGCAGGATGGCAAGACCGAGAAAAGCCGTGTTCTTGGGGGCTCCTTGTGTCTATGCAGCACGATGGGACGGGTGAGTAGGCGAGAAGGCAGAGCCGAGCCGTCATCGTCAGCGGCGTCGTCGGTGGACAAACGAGCTCAAATCGGTATGCGGGGTACGCCAAGCGCATGCAGCTGCGTGCTGAAAGCGGTAACCCTCGAAGCACATCGACCTAACATCTTCAAATGTAATCGACGCTTCGAACACGGACCAACAGGAAAATCCGCTTTCCGCTTCCGGCCGCAATCCAAGAAGAAAGAGAGAGGGAGAGAGAAGGCGATACACAGACGCGCAAAGAGCGTGGGGGAAGCAACTCTCGAGTCGACTCGCCGGCCAACGAGCTCTCGTCTCGACACGCCTCCACCATCTCTCTCTCGCTCCTCCGCACGTCGTTTGCACCATGGCCTCTTCCCAGCTCTCAGGGCCGACGGGCACCGTCTTCGCCGCGTGGACGCTCATGCTGCTCGCAGCCGCCTTCTCCGCACCCGCAACAGCGGCTCTCGAGCTGCCCTCGTTCGTGCGCTCGACGCTCAACGTCAAGCAGCCCGTAGGCGCGACGGCGTACCAGGCCAACCAGCCGTACGATGGCATTGAGATCCCACTCACAGGTCGCTTCGTCTTCCGACCCGCGCTGTTCTGGCTCGAGGGTGGCGTTCTCGGCTTCTGCGTGCTCTTCATGCTCGTCCACCTCGTCGGCAAGACGCGCAACCGCCAGATGGCACAGCGATTCGCAACGGCTGCGGCTCCCGTGCTCCAGCAGGAGTTTGCCGTCGTCGCCGACGATGAAGGCAAGGGCAGCCTGCTGTGGAACGGCGGCAATGCAGCGTTCATGTTCGCCTCGGGTCGTCGAGGATGCGCGAGCCTGCAGGTGACGTTCGACATGGTGCCTCGACACGACCCGATGGAGATCGTATACACGCTGCTCAAGGATGTCGTGGTCGCTTCCACCTCGTCCTCCTTCCGCGATACGGTCACCTTTACCTTCACGCTGCCTCCCACGTCCGACAACGTCTCGGGCGTGTTTGCGCTCGTCAACAAGAGCGCCCTGCAGCACACCCGCAGTGGCCGCTTCGATCTCACGTTTGCCAAGGTCAACGACACCGACGCCACGGTCACCTCGCGCGGGCTGTCCAAGCAATGGGCGGTGATGAGCGAGGCTACGGACCTCACCGACGGCTTCCTCGGCGAGGCCGATCAAAAGGGCGTTGCGCAGCGCGCCAAGCTCGGCCTGGTGGACCTTCTCGAAGGCCAAGCGGGCAAGCTGCTCGACAGCCTCGTGCTGACCGACCAGCCTTTTTCGCGACCTACCAACGGCCCCATCGCTGCCGAGAAGCGCGAGCGCCTGCTCATCCTCACGCTGCAGCTGCCCAAGTCGCACACGGACGTGCGCAAGGCCATCGAGCTGCTCCAGTTCGGCTGCAACCTCGTCGATGCGCTCGACACGGGTGTTGTGAAGCTGCGCAACGAGACGCTCGCCAAGCTGCGCAAGACGCGCGCCCAGGTCGACAAGGAGCTCCACGACGAGGCGACCAAGGAACAGCGCGAGGCAGAGCTCGAGGCGAGGGAAGAGGCAAAGCGCAAGGCCGAAAAGGAAAAGTTCGACAAGCTCTCGCCCGCCGAACAGGCAAAGCGCAAGGAGGTCGAGCGCAAGCGCGCCATGAAGAAGGGCGCCCAGAAGGTGCGCTCCGGTTGATCCTATCCTTGCCCTCCTCGATTGCGTTGCCGATTACAAGGCGGCGATGACACCCCGTGTACTTGTCCCAAGTTTTGGCGTCGCGATGGAACAATGAAGCGCATTAGTCGGGCATGAGATGTCTGATCTGTTGTGAGCGTGCTTTGATTGGATGATGCAGGAGTTGTGTTTCGTGCTATTTCGCCCCTTCTGCTGCCTTTGCCGCCTTTGCCTGTGGTTCGACGATGGATCAGCGATGTGTGCGTGATGCTTGTGATGCAAAGCCGACTTACCGCCTGTTTGGCACGCAGTGCTTCGGCGTCGGCCTCCTTGCGCTTGGCGATCGAGGTGTTCGACTCGTTGCGCTTGCCCTTGTTGGCGTCGGCCTGCTTCTTCTGGTTCTTGGCACGTGCCAGTTCACGCTGGTTGCCGCCTGGCCGCCGTTCGAACGCATCAAGGCATCAGCTAACGGAGTTCAGGGCGTTGAGGAGATCGTGATGGCACTTACGAGTCATTGCGAGTTGCGTGCTGGTGGGTGGGATACGGCTGAACAGCTCGTGCGAGCGCAAAGCGTCGATGGGTTCAAGCGATGAAGCAAGTTGTTGCTTCCAGTGTGGAACCCTTCTTCCACACGCCCACGCCCGCCTGTTCCGAGTTCCATGCATTTCCACTTTTCCACCACGCGATTTTCCCACCGCCGCCGCCTGGCCCTCATGCAACCACCGTCCGTGGGCGAAGAGGCGCTTAGGCTCTTTGCAAGGCCCTGAGGCTCTTTCTCGCTACACACGCTAAAGCATCGCACGCACGGAGCCGTTGAGAACATCTGAATGATCTTTCGGAACATGGAGGCTAGGGAAGACTAAGGATCAACGAGCCTGGTATCTAGAGGTGGCTCTGAGGAAGCTGGACGCCGGCGGGCTGGACGTGGGCAGCGAGGTCGAGGCCGAGCTTGTCGTTCACAAACTTGTTGCAGAAGGCAAACAGCTCGGCTGCCAGCTTGCCGTCCTTGTCCTGCGCCTGTTTGCTCTTGGAGCCCTTCTTGGCGACGGGCACGAGGTAGGCGCCGTTGAGGCCGAGCTTGTCGACCTGGGGCGAGGTGCATGCGTAGAGCTGGGTGAGGGCGCCGTCCTCGGGAGCTGTGACGATCTTGTTGTAAAGAGGCTGGACAAGGCTGATGATCTTGCCGTACGATGCCACCGGTCCGCGGAGGAGCTCGGTAGCTACCACACCGGGGTGAATCGAGAGATTGGTGATGCGCGCGTCCGAGGGAAGCAGCTTGGCAAGCTCGTTGGCAATGAGGATGTTGCCGAGCTTGCTCTTGCCGTAGCGGTTCCAAGTGCCCTTGAATTCGGGCCAGTGCTTCTTGTTGACCGCCTCGAGGTCCTTGAAGCTCGTATCGGACGCAGCGCCGAGATGGCCCATGCTCGAGACCTGAACGATGCGCACCGAGGGCGAGTCCGGGTTGGCGTACTCGGGCAGCTTGGAGGTGTTGTAGAGCGTGGGCAGCAGCAGCATGGTGAAGAGGTAGTGGCCCACCACGTTGGTGCCGACCTGGATCTCGATGCCGTCCTTGGTGAACTCGTATGGCATCGCCATGACGCCGGCATTGTTGAGCAGGATGTCCAGACGCTTTTCCTGCGCAAGGAAGTCGTCGGCAGCCTTGCGTACCGCCGCGAGCTCGGTGAGATCGAGCTGGAGGAAGTGGATGTCGGCATTGGGGACCGCCTTCTTGATCTTTTCGATGGCATCGCGCGCCTTGGATTCGGTGCGCGACGCCATGTACACTTTGGCGCCATTTCGCGCAAGCTCGAGGCAGGAAGAGCTGTCATGAGCCATGGCAATCGAGATCAGATTAAGCAGCCGGTCAGCACAATTGCGTCAAGACCACGGAACTGCCTGCTGGGATCCACACTTACGCTCCGAGACCGGCGTTGCCGCCCGTCACGATGGCCACGCGGCCAGAGAGGTCGGGGATGTCGGAAGCCTTGAACGACGGCATGTTTCTATCGGTGTGGATGGGTGGCGAGGAAAAAGTAGAAGAACTTGGGCAGCTTAAAATAGTTGCGAGGAGCCGGACAAGATGCAAGCGCATGCACAGCGATCCACTCGAAAGGAGGATCTGCGTCGTCACCGCTGCACGAGGCGAGTTACCACACGCACCTTGTGAAAAGCGCCAAAGTGGAGCGTTCGGCCTCCGTGGAGTTCCAAGGCGGGGCACCG